CGTTTCGTCAACTTTGCGGCAAAAACAATTTCCTGTTTCTGTTAGGAGTGGCGTTCAGCCCCACGCTTACAAACACTGCATTTTTGAATCGTTACACGAATGATGTGAATATGGCCGGTACACGTGGGGGCATATGCGAAAAAGGTGCATTATCATTGCTGCGATAGGTACGTGTGCCGCAAGAATTGCATATGTTCGGTATCTGTTAGGGTAGCATCTTTCCGTGCCATCGAATTAAGCGTTTTATAATCAACGACACCGAAACATACCACGGCACACGCTACAAATTGGTGCTCGCTGCGCTGGTGGAAACAGTGCGTGCTCCAGTATTCACCAGCTCTTCCCAGTGAAAATTCCAGCACTTCCAGCGCTTCACAGTGCGCACCAGCATCACAGCGGTTTAGCCAGCGCCCCTACCAGTGCGACACAGCTTTTTCCTAGTGCGCCCAGCTAAGTGCCAGCGATTACAAGCATGTACCAGTGCCTCCAGCGTGTACCAGTGTCAAAAAACGTACTGGCATCCCGCTGTTCTTGCAATAGGGAAACTGACTTTATCATCATGGCATTAATAGATTGCAAGACACAACTCCGTTTTATTCTGATTCTTTCAAATAATTACCCACCCAGCTATCAACTGATTACACTTGTGTTTCCCGGGCTTACCTATACCTAGAAGGGACCAGTGAACAAAAGGGTGAATAACTACCCATGTATTTGGGTTGTTTTTTTTGGGGGGGGGGGGGTGGATTCCCTTCGTGCCCATGACAAAGGCGTAGGCTTCTGCAAAAGCACGGAATATCAAGTAAACAGAATCGCTCTTTATAAAATGAATTTACTACCAGTGAGATCTCGAATGGCAACTAGTAATTGACATATTCTTTAGGCTGCATGCTGACTACTCCTTCATTATAGGCCCAGAAGGAATGAGTTTTGGCCATACTTTATTGCAACTATCTGCTATAAGAGGTAAATTGGAGGCTTGACCATGTTGGTATGACATCTCAGGAAATAAAACAGCCGGAAGACGGAGCACTACAACAGGGAGGCACAACAGTGCCGATTACAACAACATTTTCTTCGTGAACAGAAGGAGAAACAAGAATAAGCAACAATCAAATGAAAAAGGAAAAAAATATCATCTTAATCACTAAAACCCATACCAGGATCACCACTGCCAGTCATGTACATTGCGCGTACATTTATCTGATAGATAATAAATTTAGCCACCCTTCAAAGCTATTGAGTACGTGCTCACGCATGCGTTGGTGAGCTGTGATGTGTGGTGCGCGTTAATATGTGCATCGTTAAAACACGCGCAACATAAAACGTGGCCGAATAAAAGACGAAAACAACAACTTCGAAGGACCGTCCAACACGAGAACGCGTGGCGCAAGGGATCTACGTGCAAGTGGCCCCATAGAAAGTCACTCTGGAGATTCGAAGAGCCAATCGCTGGGTACTACAAAGTGCAGTATCACCAATCAGGACGACACAAGTGGGCCGGATGTTACGGAAGACCCTGAGCTAGAGAACAGCAGCACCACTCGTGAAAAACGAGACGAGCGTAGGTAGGTAAAAACTCTATTTTTTATTTAGAAAGGAGAGGGGCAATGGGAAAGAGATGAGGGGACCTTGCTACGCTCGGTAGTCCTTCACAAATTTCTCTGCCCAACCCAGGATGGCCTACTGGAAGTTGGGTTTCAAGCTGCGCAAGGCAGCCTTCCACTGGTCCTCCATACTATTTTTTGGAGGGACAGGGGAGAGGGGTGCTTAGGGCGCCCCAACATAATATGATTAAGATTTGTTTTTCATGCAGAGCAATAATTACAGAAGAAAGACGGGTAGAGAGAAGGGTACTTGAGGTGAAGAATGTAAGAAAAGGGAAAGGTGTGAGTCTGCAGCTGTCGCCACGGTACTTCGCGCCTTCACGAAGATTTCGACATTAGTGGCCGTAAGGTTAAGCGGCAGAGGTGGTATTGATTACAGATGTCGGGAAATGGTAAAAGGCGATACCGCGCACCAAACGGTGTCCTTGTCAAAACGGAGCTTGGCTCTGCCAACACCCGCACCCGTAACATGTTTGAACCAGGCTGCGCGAACTGTCGTTCGCACGCCATGCATCTTGCATGCGGCGAGTGGAACTACGTCAATAGTTTTCTTATCATCAGCAACAATATGTTGTGTAAAGGGTCATCGGATAGGACACTGAAGGTAGGCCATCGTGTAGCGGGCCCAAGCAAGGAAGATTTCGACAAGCCAGGGCCTCCTGCGCTCGCGTTCCCGGTCGAGATAACTCTTGCCATGTGGTCATTAACTCAAGCCCAAGGCTTGCGGACTTACGCGCCAATAGATACTCACCTGCAATTGGGCTTTTGGGCTTTGTGCCTGAGCTGTGCGTCCAGCTGCCTGCGCATCTTTCACTTGCTTTCTTTACGCATCGCTCAGCCGCAAGCGTTCCGTCGTCTTGAGCAGTGAGCCCCGTCAACTACAAGAATCGAGCCTCTGCGTGTTGTTGAAGGTGAACTCTCACTTTTTTTTGCTTCACGACTCACCCACGTTGGAATCGTGGAGTTTATCTAAATCGCTTTTTTTGAAGGATATTTTGAAATATGTTTTGTTTTTATTTCGTAGTGTTTTGCCACGTGCTGTGAATTTTTGATAGGTGCAGTGTTTTGTGCAGATTTGTTTTCAGTATAATTGTGTCAGAAAAAATTTTGTATGTCTTAAAACTAACAGGTTTGTTCTTCATAAAGATCTCAGTGGCTCAGCCAAAGAGAGCTATTCAAAAGCATAAAGAAATATTTGCATCGAAAATTGAGTGGTGGAGGATTAGTGGTTGAAGCTGACAAAGATGAGAGTTTCTTCTCACCAACACGCAGATGCTCGGCTCTTAGAGTTGAGGCGTGCTTGTTGGTTGTAACGAGGTAACGCTGTCATCCTGGCGACGCGTCAAAAACCAGGTGATAGATGGGCAGGCAACTGGTGATACACAGGACAGGCAACCAGTTCATAGATGGGCAGGGGACGAACAACTCAGGCGCGAAGACCTACTGATTGTACATGCCTGTCCGAACTGAATTCCCGAGGCTTTAAGCTGGAGTTCAAGACCTGATGGCTACGGTCCTATTGCATGGTGGCCTCGGGTTGTTAAAGTATACGTGGTTCGCGTCCACAACCCGACGGCCCATCCTCATCGCCCGGTTCAGTGACCACCTTCCATTCGTCTCATTATTCTCGAATTACCCTGCTCTTCTGCGGCTCAAGATCTTTCGTGGATTCCAGCCCACTTTTCCCGTCTTAATTGGCGATGCTGTAGTTTCGTGTTACCGGGCGATTAGTTCCTGGAATCTTTGTGGTGACCTCATTTTGGGCCACTTGAACGTAGACCATTGCACCACGCTTTCTCCGACTCGAATTTAGTATGACGTTATCATCTTCTGCTTCACTTGGCCTTTTTATTCTTATGTAGCGTGATTTCCATTGACGCAAATGTGAACGCGCAGTATACATCAAACGAAACTTTCCATTTGCAAAGTCTCTATGTTTTCTCGTATTACCTGGCCCTGATGAACCTTGACTACCACGCCTTGCTAATATTCAGAAATTCAGCCAGTGTCACGGCAGTGGATTCCAAGGTGATGAGAAGCCACTAAAAACCTGTAAACGTGTTTCTTCAGGTGCTCATTGACAGACATATTAGTATGGCCAATATACCGCGCTCACAAGACAGCCGTGGGCACGCTTTCAGGACATGAAACAAACTTGCTTCGATGTTTGGTTTCGCAAGCGCGGGTTTTTCTAGCGTCCACGTTTAAGGCCCTACATAAGCTAGCTAGCTTCATGGGGTCATATATATCAACATCAACCTTGCAAATGCTGGCTATTTTCATCTTGCTACAGGCAGCACAGTAGATACAACAAACCACGACAACACTTTTTTTCGTTCTGGTCTATTTCCGTGAGTTCGAGCGAAAGGTTCTGGACTTTTCTTCATTTCCTTCAGCAGGCACTCCACCACGGCTGGCATTACGAGAGGAGAGATACCAGCATTGATGAGGCGTTTTGCCTGCATACTAAAGCTGGATTGAATATAACAGCCGAAGCTGTTATAAGATCAAAACTCGGGTCACTCGTGGCACTGCCACCGGCGCCCCTAACCACTATCACAAAATAAGAATAAAAAAATATTTAGCACCAAGAACTCAGTGGAACTCTAACCACTGTGAGCAGCGTGCCAGCCCAGTAATCTACCACTGCACCATGCTGGTGCTCAGATTTTTTTCGCAAACTTGTCTTCCGTAGGCTTGATGTCGGGTAAGGAATCGCGTTATTATTAGTAATAAAAAGGTTTAGAACAACAATAGAACGACGAGGCATCATACAATGCCGTTAGCCTGACGTGTGGGTCACCCAATACTCCAACTCCTTACAAAGGTTTGCTTTTGATCACCTATAGACTGTGGCGCATACCGCCTTCATACATAATATCCTGATCGACGTCAGCCACTGCGTGAACAATTGGCAGAAAATTTCTTGTGAGTGTTTAGCAGATAAAACGATTCTCAGATCCTCCTTATAGCTTTCATTGTTCCTGTGCTGCGCCTTCCACGCAGGCCTGGCGTTTTTGTGCTAGCACGATTTTTATAGAGCGTTCACGAAGCAAGCCTTCGCCCTCGTCCTTTGCATCACGTTGAAGTGAGCAGAGAAATGGCTCACTGACGCGTGACACAGTATCTGTCCATTACATTTAGCACTTGCTCTGCTAATTTTTGAATTGATTGCTCTAAACAGAAATATTGAGGAAATTTTGAAGAAATACAAAGGAAACAAAAATTGCGTTCAGCGAATATTGGAGACAGATTGCACATAGTCTCAGTCATTGAGGGCAGATCAGGTGCCTATAGTAGCTCTATATTAACTTTTGGAAGTGTCATTCAGTCAATTGTAAATTCCTATTTGCCTACAGTGTTCCTCCAATTATGCGCGCTCTCGGGACTCACTCTCTCGGTACGCCTAGTGGTGTGCTTGTTTTCCAGCGGTCCATCTCCCAGACGCTGGCCATGGTGAAGGGCATGTGCAGTCGATCCTCCCACTTCGGTGGCCGCTCTCGACCGATCACCTCGTCAATTTCGCGTTGTATCTGCACAAGAAAAAACAGAACTCACAATTGTAATGTTTTTATATATAAAATGAAAACGATATATAAACATTCAGTCTCAGCATGCTTTTTAAGATTGACGTTAAGACTGGCGCTCTAAAGATAGCAGGATTTGAGATACCATTCGGCCCTGGAGAGCGGCAAGGACATAGTACTTAGGGTACAAACTTCTCGTGCAAATGGGCCGCGGCTGGAATCGCGGTGCCACGTCATTCCCGCCAGAATAAAATGTGCGTGTGACGATGAAATTGTCATAAAATGTCTGGGGTGCGACCTCACCGGTGACGACCACCAGTAACGCATTCCCTCACCAGAGGAGGATTGGCCCCATTGATGCGCTATCTGGCCACTACCTCCCACATGGATATGCCAATCAAAACAGCTGACCAGGGCGGCAGTCAGATCTGTGGCGCTGCAGATGGTGCTAAGAATATCTGGGTCCGGACAATCCACCATTGTAACCTAAGCTTGGCGATGTCCAACGTTGTAACCTCATCTAGTGAAAAAAGCTTAGCTGTGTCATCTGAGGAAGTAGAGAGTGTTGAATGGAATGTAATAAAGCTCATTTAGGTAAGGAGGACAGATGAGGCCTAAACAGTGCTACTTATAGGGCACAATCTTTGCTATCGTGGCTTGGCTGAAAGAAGTGAACGGGGGTAGGGGCTCCTTTCTCACAGCAATATAGCTGGTAACATAGAGGAATACTATAGCATTTATCATAGGGTAGCAGATATCGTAAATAAACTCAGTAAGAGATACAAGATGGAGGTGACACAAGCTTACGCGCTTACATCCAGCAATCAGGACGTGCTAGTTGAAAGCTTCTATGAAGACGTAGAATTGAGTGAGCAACGTAAAGACACAGTATACTATGCCAACTTCAATGCCAAGGTAGAAAATGCCAAAGTAGGGAAGAAGCAGGCTGGAGGTCAGGCAGTAGGAGATTATGACATTGTTACTATTAATGTCGGACGGAAGTTATGAGAAGAATACAAAAACAGACTAAACTACGGATCTTGAACACCTTCTACCGAAAACGAGTGAACCGTAGGGGTAATGGGGAAGCCCTAAAGGTGAAAGTAAAAAGGAATTGGGCTTTACACTGAGTGCCCACCCAGGCGTTTTGTAGGATGAGGAGGCACTTGGCAAGGTACAATTTAGCGACCATAGAATGGTAAGGTCTTACATTCACCTAGACTTGAAGAAGGAATGACAGAAACTGAAACGCAAGAAGCCAACCAATCAGCTAGCACTGAGAGAGAATGTATGGGAATTCAGAGTCTTGCTTAAAAACAGATGCTCCTATCCACGAAACCAGTCCTAGAATTGATGAATTGAATAATAGTCTCATGAATATCATTACAGAAGGTGGAGTGCAAGTTGTAGGTACAGCGATTAGGACACCAGGGAGCTGTCCCAGGAGACAAATAAGCTCATTAAAACGTCAAAGAATCAAAGCCTCAAGCACAACGGACAAAATAAATAGAACAGGATGAGCGTTTGAAGCTGATTATTAAGGGCAAGTTATCCACTGTAGGAAGGTAAAACATGAACAAAATTGAATATGCTCTAAAGAACGGAGGAACAGTCAAAGCGATGAACGTGAGACTAGGTACGTGCAAAAACCCGATTTCTTCGCTAAGAGTCAGGGAAGACACGTTAACTTAGAGAAGGGATAAGGTAGTTAGAGAAGCGGAGGAGTTTGACAGAGATCTGTAGAGTAGCCGGATAACCAAAGTAGCACAAAGCCAAGTGATATCCCACCAGTAATGACAAAATAGTCAGGAAAGCCTTGGAGAAAATCCAAAGAGGTAAACCTGCTGGTGAGGATGAAGTAACACCGAATTTGCTGAAAGACTTGGGTCATGCAGAAGTTGTTAGAAAAAGTGGCCACTCTGTTTACGAAGTGCCTTGTGACAGGAAGGTTGCCAGAATCTTAGAAGAAACCAAGCATCATGCTAATCCACAAGAAAAGGGACAAAAAGGATCAGTTTAAATATAGGCCCATCCGCATGCTGTCTGTCGTATATAAGCTAATGACAAAGGTAACTGCTAACAGACTTAAAACAACATTAGAATTCAATCGAGCAAAGGATGAAGCAGGATTCGAATCGGGCTACTTGCCACAATAATGCTACAAATCACGCGATCAAAAAGTGCTAAGAATGCACCCAACAACTTCATACGTAGCCTTCATAGTTTATGAGAAAGCATTTGATTTAGTAGAGATATCAGCAGTCATGCAGACACTGTGGAATCAGTTATTTGACAAGGCATACATAGACATTCTTGAATAGATGTACAGTGAATTGACTGCCACCATAGTTTTCCATAAAGAAAGCGAGAAAAAACCGACAAAAAGGGTACCAGACAAATCGATGCAATTTCCCTTGCGCTGTTTACAGCGTGCTTATGGTAGGCTTCCTGAGGCCCACAACGGAAAGAGGTATAAAAATTAATGAAGTGTACTTTAGTGTTCTGCGCTTAGCCGGTTACATTGCGTTGCTCACTAACTCAGGGGACATTAGCAATTCATGATTACTAAATCAGACGAGGAGACTAGAGAAGTAGGTCTAAAAGTTATTCTGTAGAAAACGAAAGTTGTTTACAGCAACCTCGGTAGAGAACGGTGCTTCGTGATAGTTTGCAGTGCACTTGAAGTTGTGAAAGAGTACGTCTGCGTAGCACATGTAGTAACCGCAGAGCCGAAGCACGAAATTGAAGTAACTAGAAGATTGAGAATAGGGTGGAACATATTTGGCAGCCATTCTCAAAACATGACTTGTAGGTTGCCACTATCTTCAAGGGGAAGAAATATAACAGCTGCATCTTGCCAGTAGCCACCTACGGAGCAGAAACCTTGTGGATTACAAATATGATTCAAATACTGAGGACGACGCATTGAGCGATAGAAAGGAAAGTGATAGGTTTGACCTTAAGAGATAAAAAAAGAGCGGACTGCGTCAGGGAACATACTGTGATTAAGGATATAACCAATTAAATCAAGAAGAAGAAATGATCATGTACGAGTCAGATCGCATAAAGGCAGGATAACCAGTGATCATTAGTAAGAGTAACTGACTAAATTCCCAGAAACTGCAAGCCGATGAAAGAAAGACAGAAAGATAGGGGGAAGGTCAGATAAGAAAGTTTGCGAGTATAAAGTGAGTGCACCATGCACAAGACCTACTTGACTGGCAGAACCTGGGAAAGGATGTGAATAAGCAATTTGAAAGATGCGGTTGTAGCAGATGACAGCGCTGCATGCCCTAGACGATGACTAAAATGAAAAAGCAATTGAGGCTCGCGACTAGAACATTTGGTAGATCCCAAGTACAGTGGGAATAAATTTTATGCAAAGCACAAATGAAGAAGGCTGAATTGTCACAATAAAATCAGCAAAACGTTAAGAGGCGGAGGTAAATTATATCGTGCATCACTTCTAAGTCATGTTAATTATGTTCCACCTGCAATTCGTGCTCACTTGTTCATTCACATCACGTAATACCAAATTTGGTACTTGTGAAGCTAGCAAAATGGCACGAGCGCATCATGCGCCTTGCATGTAGTCATGCTCAGACATGACACGCATGTCCTGATTATCTTGTACGCAATACTAACATACAACCACCATCCATTTTCCTCACGTACAATGAAAATTGGTGAATGTGAAGCCGGCGTAACCACCACGATTGCATCTTGAGCGTGGTATGTAGTAATAATCTTACTTGACACGCATTTCATAATTATTATGTTTCCACCAGTCATATACCTTCACCATCTATTCACGTCACGTAATACAAGATTTGGTGTATTTGAAGCTAGTGAAGCGACCACGAGCGCATCATAGGCGTGGTATGTTCTCATCTACTTACATGACACGCAAGTCATGATTTCCACGTGAGCGTCTCTTATAATCACCATCCCTCCACTACGGCGTCTCTCATAATCAAATGGTGGTTTTGGGACGTTAAACCCCACAAATCAATCAACTTATAATCACCATGCAGTCATACCATGCCAATTTTGTGATATGTCATGTGCAGGAAACCACCGAAGCAGCAGCAAGACCCGGACATGTAAATTATGACATTCAGGACATACGTGTCATGATTTTCATGTAATTAATAGTCACTTATGCTCGTGGCATAGTCATGTTATGCCATACCAATTTCGGTATATATACAATTATCCAAACGGCAGGAGAGCTAAAAATCGTAAGCGGCAAGATAGATAGATAGATAGATAGATAGATAGATAGATAGATAGATAGATAGATAGATAGATAGATAGATAGATAAATAGATAGATAGATAGATAGATAGATAGATAGATAGATAGATAGATAGATAGATAGATAGATAGATAGATAGATAGATAGATAGATAGATAGATAGATAGATAGATAGATAGATAGATAGATAGATAGATAGATAGATAGATAGATAGATAGATAGATAGATAGATAGATAGATAGATAGATAGATAGATAGATAGATAGATAGATAGATAGATAGATAGATAGATAGATAGATACGGGCAAACTCGCCGAAGGTCGCTCAGAAACGCTTCGAATTTAGAAAGAAGCGAAGAAAAGAGTGCACGCCTTACACAAGGTGAAAACGGCAATACATGAGCTCATATAATAACTGATTCTCTCTATATCTGTGCGGTACAATCTGTTCGTGCTAAATCTCAAGTAATAAAGGTGTTCCGTGCGCTACTACATAATAATTTTAACGAAGTCAGATTACTTTGGGTACCTGGACGTAAAGGCTAGTTTCTCAATGAAACGGTCGATTCCTTAGCTAAGTCGTCAATGAGCGGAGTGATTCTACCGTAGTTTCTATCATGCGCTTATGTGACTGCTGCTTACGGGTGGTCATTGGAGGCACAGCACTGATAAACTCTACCGAATATCCCCATTTAATAAAGCCCTGGTGAAGAGCCCTTTGCAAAACTCGTAAAATAGAAGTAGCTCTCACGAGGGTGCACGGCCGCGTACCGAATATAAATTTCTACAAACACAGGTCTGCCCAGTCACCTTCGCCACTGGGCGCGTTTTATGGTGAACTGGTAAAAATGGATAATTTTTTGACCAGCAATTTTTTCACTGCAGTACGAAAATCCATTTAGAAATACCTTTACGTGACATTGGTATGGAGCCGTCTGATTCTTTAATTTTTTTTCATTTAGAGCCTCTATCTCACGATTCTCTAGTGCGGAGGTGCGCGTCTGTCAGGGGCTATACGAATGAAACTACTCGGATGACTTATAATAAGTGTTATTATTATAACAAATATACAGAATTTTATACACGTAAAGTTAAGTGTATTGCTCTAATTTAAATTAAAACCTTTTTTCTTCTTCTTTATAGACCTATATGAATTAGATCAGACACAATTGTTTCCTAAGCATTTTGTAATCTTTGTATTCACTAGCTTCGTCATTCTAAATTTATACAACAATTAATAGAACCACTGATTTTTCAGCATGACCACAGTAGGTATACGCCAAAGGCCATAGGTCAACAAGAACAGCAACAAAGTTGTTGTTTAAACGCTGACAAGACAAAGCGAGAGAGCTTAGTGCTAACGCGCAATTACGCGTGAGGTTCTGAAGGTCGGGTTTCGGTCCTCAAGTTGTTGACATCCTCGGGCCACGACATGTCGGCGGGAACAGGCACGAGTTACGGGTGAGCCCACCTGCGTGCAACTCAGGCACGGTGAGCGTCCTCGATACTCCGGAGCTGCTGATCACGTCTAGTGAGCCGACGTCGCTGATTGTGCAGCTACGCCTAGGCCTGGCGATGTCTTCTGCAGCTAGACGCTGACCTGTGTATGCAAGCCACGGCTGGACCAACACCAGGTAACGGGTTCTATCCTACTGCAGCGGGCTACGGCACATACTTATGAGACCACCTACTCACTTTGTTATGATTGCGAGCCACCTGCACGATGTCAAGTTAATGTACTTATGCTTGTCTGTCGTTGAAAGTCACTTTGTTTTGTGTTCCACTCTGTCTGCGTCTTCCTCGCGTCACACGCCATGCGACGTGATGAACCTGACTATTACAGAGACCTTTTTCTGGATAAGGGCATGGATAGGCACATGTTGGTAATAATGGTGAAGCGTTTCTAAGCGAACTTCGGCGACTGTGAGCATATCTATCTATCTATCTATCTATCTATCTATCTATCTATCTATCTATCTATCTATCTATCTATCTATCTATCTATCTATTTATCTATCTAACTATCTATCTATCTATCTATCTAGTCCCCTACCACATATATCTCTAAAAGCCGTTTCGACGGCGGAATTCATACTGAACAATTTATGGCATAGCATGACTGCATGGCGAGCGTAAGTTGCTAGTCAGAACACCGAAATCATGATCTGCATCTCGTATATGTCATAATTCACATGTGCTGGTTATCCTGCTTTTGTGGTTATTTTTTTTTCGCATGCCATATATCAGTCACGGTATGCTACAACATGACTGCATGTCGAACATAAGTAGGAGGCCTTAACGTGAAAATCATGACACACATGGTATGTAAGTCATGACTCATGATTACACGCCATACGCTCACGGTGCGCTCTCATGTGTTTCTCAAGCTTCACATCTACCAAATTTGATATTACGTGACCTTAATGAATGGGAGAGGTATATGACTGATGCAAATATGATAATCATGACATGCGTGTTTTGTAAGAACATGACAAAATGACATGACCATGATGTGCTTGGGACCATTTCGCTAGCTACACATATACCAAATTTGCTATCATGCGACGTGACCAAACTACAAATGTAAAGACAAGTTCAAACATGATGATCATGATATGCGTGTCATGTAAAACATGACTACACGCTACGCTCATGAAGTGTTCACGGCCGTTTTGCTAGCTTAACTTATTTTGAATTTGGGATTACACGACGTGAATTAACGACGAAGGTAAGACACACCTCTAAACATGATAATTATGGTATGCGTGTCATGTAAAACAGGACTACTTGCTACGCTCACATTGCGCTCACGGCCGTTTCTCTAGCTATACACATACCAAACTTGGTATCATATGACGCCTGCGGACACTAAATGACACGTAAAAACACGATAATCATGACATGCGTGTCATGTAAAACATCACTGCATGCTACGCTCACAGCCCGCTCGTGCCCGTTTTACTAGCACCACACACATCTTATTTAGCATCACCTCACACTAATCGCCCCGCCGCGGTGGTCTAGTGGCTAAGGTACTCGGCTGCTAACCCGCAGGGCGCGGGTTCGAATCCCGGCTGCGGCGGCTGCATTTCCGATGGAGGCGGAAATGTTGTAGGCCCGTGTGCTCAGATTTGGGTGCACGTTAAAGAACCCCAGGCGGTCTAAATTTCCGGAGCCCTCCACTACGGCGTCTCTCATAATCATATAGTGGTTTTGGGACGTTAAACCCCACATATCAATCAATCAATCAATCAACCTCACACTAATCGACGAAGGTAAATGACACGTTCAAACACGATAATCGTGACATGGAAGTGACGTATGGCATAATTTACGCCCGGCTAGTAACAATTTCCTGATTTAAAGTGACATTTCCACCTTCCTCAGTCGTTCTTCGCGTGTCATGGATTCCCACTGAACAAAGATGTGGAATTTTTTTTTTGGTTTTCGTTTGACGTCAACGACATAGTTGCCACCCGATTTCTAGAACATTCTCTAAGTCACAATGCAAATTACTCGTTTATTCTACACAAATTTTCCATCACTGATAGTAGCTTACTCGTAAAAATAACGCAATATAACAACCCGCGAGACTTCAAGTACGAAACACTTACTTCATTTGCACATGTATGGGTAGTTAAATTAACGATAATGATTGCTACTAAAAAAACACTGTTGTTGGTTTGAACTGAAATGCTCATCATCTTGATTGATTGATTTGTAGGGTTTAACGTCCCAAAACCACGATATGATTATCATTGACGCCGTAGTTGAGGGCTTCGGAAATTTCGACTACCTGGGGTTCTTTAATGTGCACCCTAATCTTAGCACACGGGCCTAAAGCATTCTCACCTCCATGGAAAGAGGCCTATCCTCTTTGGCGGCTGTTTCGCACACAGGCGCGCCACCTGTTGTTGTGGTATAGCGAATACATGGATACCTTTTGCGGGTTTTACTATCATCGTCATCTTCCGAATATGTATGTAGAGAAGCGGCCACTGTTACACTAAACACAGATCGGCTAGCCCCGGTCTGCTGAACGCCACGGTGGGCGCCGCGCGATGTATTGTGGCTGAAACGCAACCAGTGCCAAAGGTGCAGTTAGCGGTGCATCGTCTGTTACAGTTTTTCACACTTCACTGCGAGCTGCGAAATTCATACTGCGGGCTCGCTTTTACCACCAATTGTACGGTAAACTGGTAGGAAGCCTAGCAGACGACGCACTTATATAACGACGCCTCCGACACAGATTGCGCTTGTGCGAAAAAAAAAAAAAAAACCTCACGCGGTGTTAGCACCGAGGTTCAAGGATTATGGCCACGCGCGCTGTGGTACTCTATAGAGTGGCCGCACCTGTATAAGCAATATAAGTCACAACCAAAAGGAATTCAAAATAAAATATATACCCAAGACCGCAAGTACGGATTCGAACCTACGACCTCTCATCCTCCGGCGCACTAGGTTCTACAACACCGCCACATAGCACACATGGCGAAGCATACTACATATCGATTGTCAATTCATATACACCAGTTACCACTGCAGGTACGCATAACAGAGACGTGCTTCAGAGCATTCACAGCTTCCCGCGAGATCATGCGAAGGGCGCGCTTCAGAGATCGTCCCTCAGCTGCTGTTTCCACGAAGTGTAGGATAAGTTCACGCCTTTTAGGTGAACTTCGGCTCACAGGCGGCGGCAACCCAAGCTCGCACGCTTATTTCGTGATTGGGGGAAGATGGGGAGGTTCGTACGACTGTTAGCACTTCAAAGTTTGCGTTAAAACTATAAACCACTGGAAGGTCTCTACAGGCTTTTTGCGGTGCATGGCTGTGTTTGCGATAGGAATGAGCTCGTTGGTTGTACAATAGTTTATTTTTTCAGCGCGCTGGACAAACAAAAAGTAGTAAGTGTTACAATTGTTTGCGCTTGCTCAGTACATACCTGAGCGTTCTTTTCGCGGGGCCTTCTTTGTGCTTCAATAGTGTGCTTGAAATGTCGGACTGGCACTCTCTTTTGTTGGGGATCGTGTTCTTTTCAATCGCCTTTCTCGCCTAATCAGAGTGGTGCGAATTCGGGTTCCTTGCCATTCTTCGCGTGACAGATTTGTTGCTGTCGCATTGACTGGTTCGTCCTTTTGACAAAACGCCGCCATTTTTCAATCATAAAGAAAACATGCATGACCGAATACTACTTGTTTTGTTACTGAGGACCTTGCTAGTGCAGTGATACGCACCCTGGCTTGTAATGTGTCCGGTTCCATAGCGTTCTTCACCATGTGCCAATGTATGGTGCCGGCGGTGCTTGCAGTGCCAGCAAGGAGGAAGCTGGTCACCATGCCGACTAGGGTTTCCACTGGAAAACAGCGACCCGCCAAGATAGCCTATCAGTACCGGTAAGTGTCGTCGAAAATCTTCCATGCAATTAAGAACTTATATAATACACAAGGTTACAACATTTCTAAAGTGGTTAATTGCGCCCAGAAGAAGGCAGGAGACACAGAAAAAATAGGAGCTTTAACAAACAATTGAGTAAATAGAGGTTGCATGGGAAGCGACTCTTCAAGATTTCAACTCTTGAGGGGAAATTTCAGCTTTTGAAAAAGCCGATCCAGCTTGTAGAAGCATCGGCTCTAGCTCACCTTTGTTTTTGGAAATTGTTCATTTGTCGCACTAGCAGTGAAATGAGTCTGATTGCCAAAATAAATTTCACGCGAACATTGTAGGACAATGCCAGTTCGCTTAGCCGTGGTGATTCAGAGAATGAAGTACTCGGCTGCTGACGCACTGGTCGTGAGAGCAGCGGCGGCTGCATTTTCGATGGAGGCGAAAATGCTGCAGGTCCGTGTGCTCATATTTGGGTGCTGGTTAGAGAACCCCAGGTGGTCGAAATTTCCGGAGCCTTCCACTACGGCGTCTCTCAAAATTATATAGTGGTTTCTGTACGTCAACCCCCAAATATTCATCAATTATATGCAAGTTCAATAGGCCCCGCCAGCATGCCGAGTCAGCAATGTTTATTCTGGGCCGACCATCAGGTTTTTTGTAGTTCGTGGGCAAAGTCTCGCGAATGCACTTATGTTAAAAAAATCTATATAGCGTTTGCCAAATAGTGCTAGCGATGCTTTGGCAGTGATTCCAAATCGAACAGGTTTAAAATAGTGACGCTTGCGTCTATGTAACCATTTGTGTCTATTTTTGCAAGCCGCAGGTTTAGCCATATATCAAATACAACTAGTCAACCTTTACGTCCTTCCTAATACAACAGCAAGACAAGCTTGACGTGGCCTCCGCTTTTATTGGATTCATCAGTGCGCAGTTTATAGTCATTATTAGAGAATGTGTGATAAGTGGTTCCGAGAAACAACATGATTACTCTAGACGCAAAACTTCGCCATAAAGTCAGCTCTGTAAGAAAGTTCCTTGAAAATTATGTACCTGTTCTCACCTGTAAAATGATCTTTAGAGTCATCATCTCTGTCTTGGACTTTCTTCAGGTATGCGTCTACAAAATCCCGGTTGACATGATTATCTGCTGAAGTTTTGTGTTCCTTTATTTTCTCACTAGAATTGAGAAAAAAGACTATTATGCACCCAAACTACGCTAGTTCAGCAGAGAAGTGGCTGCCTCTCTATGCCACAGGAACAATAAAAAGAATAAAATACATGCCCAAACATGAACGTAGACGTGCGCACCAGGGTTGCAGGGTAAACACCTGCCTCCGCGCTAGTCACTCATGAAAGGGGGGGGGGGGAATTCAGCCCTGTACGTTTACATACTGTTATCTGATTTCGTTTGATGAGTGGAGTTCAACAACCCGAAACCGCCATTTGATTATGAAAGACGCCGCAATAAAGGGCCACACAATTTTCGATCACGTATGGGTTTTTCTTCGTGCACCAATCTGAGCACACGGGCCTATAGCATTTTCGCCTGCATGATATAATGGGAAAGAGAGATGCTGCGAAAAAATTTCGCCCCTCAATCCTGCGCACACCTATGGTCATAAATGATCTCAAGCCTGGCCAATAACTACTAAATATGTACACGTACTGCACATAAAGTGAAATAGTTTCAATAATAGTTTTATGGAAGGTATGGCGAATGGGTTTGATGGCGATCTTAGAAACATTTTGGCGCGCACACAGTAGAAGGAAAAACGAAAGACGAGAAGACCGGTATTTGTTTTAATAAACTGAGTTGTGAGATTGCACCTGTTTTTCTTCTCACATTTCCTTGTCCCTTCTATACTGCGTGACCACCAAGATCTTTCCAAGGAAGTTTCATGTGTATCACTATCAGATGATATACTAGAACCGAAAAAACTATCCATCAAGAATATTGAGTCCAAACAAACAGATTCTTCAGTCGCATCCGTGAAAGACTAGCACTGTTGTGTGTGTGTGTGTGGGGGGGGGGGGGGGGGTTTATGTTTAGAAGAAGGAAAAGAATAAAAAGTGAGCCTTGCGACTTTCTGCATCAGGGTGTGACATCTCAGCAGTAGCTCACAAGGAATGGGGGTGAGGAGAGATTAAAATGATAGGCATGAACTCACAACTCAGGTAATTCAAAAAAGGTACACGAAATATATATGTCCGGGTAGCTCAAAAGCACATGTGCGTAAAGAACAAGCAAAAAAACAAAAAACGATAACTTACCATCGCTATTTTTTTACGTAAGTGGTATCTACAACATGCCTCAGAATGTGAAAATCAAGTATTACTCAAAAAAGTGAACTCCTTGTGAGTAAGTATACAGTCGATGAGCTTCTTACGCATTTATCAGCGCACCTTTTGATATAAAATGATTCTACTTTTCCCCAAGTTTTACTGCCTTTATGATAAAACAAAATATTCGTGCCTCCCCAGACAGGATAACATTGGCAGATGTGCAATGCTCGGCTAACAAGGTGTGACTGCACTATTCCCAAAATTTCATGTGTTCATTAAGGCGAATGTTAGTGCATGGGTTGGTCAGGCCTATATATGCACGACTGAAGTTAAAAAGAAAACGTATATTTGCCTCGCTAAGATAGTGAAAAGTTCGTGAGGTACACAATAGGGGTAGTTTGATTGTTGCTCTTGCGGTCGTGCATCAGAAGGTGAGCTGATCAATGCGCATGCAGCCCATCAATTGTACTAACTCACAAGAAGTTAACCTTTTTGAACCATACCTAATTTTCACATTCTGAGGCACGTTGTAAATACCACTTACGTAAACATGTGCTGCTACGGTATATTATCGTTTGTATTTTGTTTTCGCTTCTTGTCTTGCTTGTTTTTTTCACGCACATGCATCCAGGAGCTACCCTGGGAATATATGTTTCGTGTATTTGTTTTAATAAACTGAGTTGTGAGATTCCGCCTGTTTTTCTTCTCACCTTTCGTTGTCCCTTCTATACTGCGTGACCGCCAAGATCTTTCCAAGAAAGTTTCATGTGTATCACTATCATATGATATACTAGAACCGAAAAAACTATCCATCAAGAATATTGAGTCCAAACAAACAGATTCTTCAGTCGCATCCGTGAAAGACTAGCACTGTTGTGTGTGTGTGTGTGGGGGGGGGGTTATGTTTAGAAGAAGGAAAAGAAAAAAAAGTGAGCCTTGCGACTGCCTGCATCAGGGTGTGACATCTCAGCAGTAGCACACAAGAAATGAGGGTGAGGAAAGATTAAAATGATAGGATTATAGGTGTAGACAAAGAGAGATGAGGGAAGCCAGAGAGAGCGACGACAAATCGAGGGGATAGGAGAGATAGGAATATCCTTAACCCCCGTTTGTTCCCTAATCCACTCTGCTCTCTTCTTGTCTCTTAAGGTTACACCTACCATTTTTCTTTCCATTGCTCGCTGCGTCGTCCTCAATTTAAGCTGAACCCTCTTTGTAAGTCTCCAGGTTTCTGCTCCGTAGCTAAGTACCGGCAAGATACAGCTGTTATATACCTTCCTCTTGAGGGATAGTGGCAAACTACCTGTCATAATTTGAGAGTGCTTGCCAAATGTGCTCCACCCCATTCTTATTCTTCTAGTTACTTCAGTCTCGTGGTTCGGCTCTGCGGTTATTACCTGCCCTAAGTAGACATAGTCTTTTACAACTTCAAGTGCACTATTACCTATCTCGAAGCGCTGCTCCTTGCCGAGGTTGTTGTACATTACTTTCGTTTTCTGCAGATTAATTTTAAGACCCACCTTTCTGCTCTCCTTGTCTAGCTCCATAATCATGAGTTGCAATTCGTCCCCCGAGTTACTCAGCAATGCAATGATGTAAATACGGTCACAGGAGTCCGAGGACGGGGCACCACTTGCGAGAGCTCTTCTCGACATCAGGAGATGGCGTAGAGCAAGTCCAGGCGGTCAGAGCTAAACTTTCATCGGAGGTCAGCGCCAGGAGATGACGTAGGACGAGCCAATCGGCCAGAGCTACGCTGACGCCGCAGATCGCGAGGGCACAACCGATTGGCACGGAATCCAGCGAGCGAGTAGCCTTGTTATCTGATAGGCTTGCAATATATTTCACGCGTGTTTCTTTTCCTCAGCCCCACCACTGTGGTCGATTGGTTAAGGTACTTGGCTGTTGACCCGCAGGTTGCGGAATTGAATCCTGGTAGCGGCTGCTGCATTCTCGATGGAAGCGGAAACACTGTAGGCCCGTGTGCTCAGAGGTTGGTGCACGCTAAAGAACCCCAGGTGGTCTAAACGTTTGGAGTGCTCCACTACGGCGTCTCTCATAATCATATGGTGGATTTGGGACGTTAAACCCCACATATCAATCAATCAATCAATCCATCAATCAATGTTTCCTAATTTTACGTTTGTTTCATTCGGTTTTCACGAAGAAAGCATGACAGAAATGCTCGGCGAAAACTGCGCCTCATTGTCCCAAAAGGTTAAGGCTGCGCTCAAGACATGAACACCTGAGATTATTCTAAAGCTTGCGCGACGACCAGGGATAAGGCTTGAACAATCAAATCAATCAATGGGAACGTGAAGATAAGTTGCAGACGTGGCTATTTCTTGTTGCACACAATAATACAAATCAGTACTTTCAATGAGGCAAAATGTTTTTGAAAAGTGGGATTAGGATTGCAGAGTGCAATGTTATATGAAATCTGAGAAGCATGGCAATTACTGCCGACAATATTTTGATTACTACATCTACATGGGAACTCTACTAATTATATCTAAACCATATTACGCTCAAAGTATTGTGTCCTCCCACCTTGTCAAAATAAATGCGGCTCACATACAATTATTTGCGTGGCAGTGGCAAACATACAAGGCAGTGAAAATTTTGACCATGAGAAATGATTTTTAGGCAGCGATTTTAACCAAAAAGCAATATACAGAGGATTATATATTTTTGCAAGCAAAACAACAATAAATGAAACTCTCCTCTGCAAAGAGTAAATTAAGATGCGTTACAGAACTAATGTCCCTATTTTTTTCTATAGTCTCGCATGGACAATAAATGTTTGTAATAGGCTTCAGCATTTACGTCTATCAGACATGTGTACCTCCAATAACACGCCGAATAACAAAGGGCGTTCAATGACTTCGCAGACGTTCACCAGCACGCAATTGGCCGTCCCTAGAAGTGCCAAAGGCATCTCTGCTGCGCCGCTTCAATATTACCAGGAACGGCTCTTTTTTATGCAATAACTTTCATATAGCCCCAATAAAAAAATGTTGAGAGGGTAATTTCAAGCGACAATGGGGGCCTATAAGTTAGTGCTCCCCTTCCATTCAGCCTGCTGGGCAATGTTTTGTTAAGGAAATCGCAGAATCAGCTAACTCGATGAAGCGGAGCGCCGTCCTCTTCGATTATGTTAGTACTTTGCATATCTTGTAGCTGAGAACACCGTAATTCCCAAGATGTCTACGTAAACACACTTACTTACGTTGCTTTCATATGAAAAAAAAAGGTCTATCACTCAATAACATGTCAATTCACACCTTACAAGGTTTATCCATAACACAAGAATAGAAAAAAAATCTGAGCAAAAATAGATTGAAGGGTGATGAGTGAGGGAAGCGTTCATCTTACGTCTGTCTGTCTGTCTGTCTGTCTGTCTGTCTGTCTGTCTGTCTGTCTGTCTGTCTGTCTGTCTGTCTGTCTGTCTGTCTGTCTGTGGATATGCTGTGCTAGCTACATGACAGTGATGGAGAGCCCTACACCATCAGAAGCTTCGGCCCTGAAAACTGATGGGTTCCTTAGCATATTGGTAATAAAATACCTAATAGCGCCATAAGAATAAAGAAAAGTTTTTTATGCATATCACCGCAGACATTCTCAGATGTTGGACAACTGACAGAATAAAAAGCTTTGTTGTATATATCGATTCACGTATTGCCAGCCACAAAGATACTAATTTCAGTCCTTTATAAATTTCGTTATTTTGACCTCAATATCATTGACATGAATATGTCTTATAAATAGTCAAGTGCCCGTGATACTGCCATGAAGAAATTGACCGGGTAAACTTGCACATGGTGACACAGCACTACTGTCAAGCATGCTATTTTTCCAACCACTTAGAAAATGCAACTTTGTGTTCTTGAATA